AGAACTATACACTACAATTGAGACTTATTCCAAGAATATAAATGTTCACGAAAATCATTCAATGTAACATACCATTTTGATATAATAAAGGAAAAAACTATATGACAATTCTAATAGACACAGAAAAGGCATTTGACACTTCTTTGTAGTTAAAATAAAGTTCAATAAACTATATACAGAATAATATTTTCTCAGATTATAAATGGTTTCAACAAAAATCCATACCAATATCATATTTAATAGTGAAATACTAGGTGCTTTTTGCCATTAGATTACAAACAAGAAAAAAGGTACCTATTTGATATCGCACTATATGTTCTAGACATGATAACTAGGCAAGAAAGAAAAATAAAAGGCATTCAGATTGAAAATGAGAAATAAAACTATTTGCAGATGACACAGTCTTGTATACAGAAAATTCTAAGGAATAAACCAAAAACTATAGAACCAATAAAGTTATAATTATAATATCAATATATGAAAATAAGTTTTATTTGTATATAATAATAATGAACAAATTGAAAATAAATTTTAAAAAGCATTTCTACTTTTTAAAAGACATATAAAATTTAATATTCTATAAATGCAGCACTATAAAGGAAAACAATGGCTTATATTACTGAAACAATTGAAAACTTCACATAGATTCTGTTATATAGATATAGGAGTTAAAATATATAAACAAAACAAAATTCCTATTGAATCAAAGACAATTGTAAAAAATTAAAAAACCAAACCAAAACAAAAACTAGTATATTTATTCATACTTGGGTTAATACAAGTATGTTCAAGCACATACATAAAGGTAGAATCGTAAAAAAACTACTATGCTGACATATCATGAACTGTAAAAAAAAGGCAAATAAGATGTTAAAATTTTTATGTTAAAGAACAGACATTAATAATCTACAAAGAATTCAAACCAAGAAAAAGGACAAGCTCCCTAAAACTGTAAAAGGGACCCAAACATATGGATAAATTAACTCTCCAAAGGCCAAACAGAAATGGAAAATAAACATGGAAAAACATCCTTCACTAAGCTTTTTCTGTAACAAAATTTGCATATATCTTAAATAGTAATTTTAAATTCTGAGTGTTTGACATATTGCCAAAGGATTGTAAGTAGACCCAATCTTTGAAATAAGTGATATATAGTAAGATTCTTAAAAACTTACATAAATTTCCTCTAGCAATTTCACTTTTTAAAAAACATCTCTGGGAACAAAATATGTGATACGTTTTTGGGGTTTTGTTTTTTTTTTTTTTGATGGTACCAAGAATTGAACCCAGAGCCTCTGCACTGAGTTACTTTCCTAAACCTATTCCACCCATTTAAATTTTGAGACAGGCTCTCACTAAGTCACTACATTGCCAAATCTAGGCTCTACCTAGAGATCCTTCTGCTTCAGCTTCTCAAGAGTGCTGGGATTACAGGCATGCACCACCATGCTTGGCAGATGTGATTTTTTAAAGATATTGGTCAAATCACTATTGATATTGCATAATAAATAATTGGTACACAACAGGATTTTTTGGGGTTTTTTTTGGGACAGGGTCTCATTCTGTAACTTAGCCTCAAACTCCTGATGATCCTTAGGAGTGTCAACCTCCTGAGAGCTGGGATTATTTCCACTCCCTAGTGCAAATTATTTTATGGTACATCCATGAAAAATAATCTGCAGCTATGTAAAATGCAAAATATTTAATAGAAGAAAATGTTTATAGTATTTAAAGCAGACCATAAAACAATGATAGTAGGGCTGTATTTTCATATAAATGTATAGCTATGAATAGAAAACTAAGTAAAAGCATAAACACTTAGGTTTATGTCTGCGGTTGGGTTTAAAGACAATGTGTGTATGTAGATGAGCATCTCTGGGCTACCAGCTTTCCAGAAATAACATATCATTTCTTTCTATAAAGAATATGAAATGATTTTGTTTAAAATCAGTTACTATTAGTTTTAAAAATTAAACATAACAGGGCCAGGGATTTAGCTCAGTGGTGTAAGTGCCTGCCTGGCACGCGCAAAGTAGTGAGTTTGATGCCTGGTACAAAAAAAAAAAAAAAAAACTAAACATAACAAAACCATCAGCTCAATATACTTTTAGCATTTGCTTTTCTTAGGGAAGAAGGAAGATGAAGACCAGTTCCTACCAGGAAGCAAGGATAGATAAGTGAACTCCTGTCACAAGTTCTTCTGACCTAAATGTGCTTTCCATCAAATTTTACATATGAACAGTCTGTTTTTAAGGAAAATTTAAGTCCAGTAAAATATCACTATTAGCATTGGAAGTTGCTCTAATTTTTTTCTTTCAATACTTTTTAAAAAGCTCCACGTACTAGACAGAAAATTTTCATAACTCAAACATTAATTCCTCTGGAGACAACCATACAATCATTTAAAATGGAATGTATAGATGAGATTGAGGGTTATAAGGCCTATATATGACTTTTTTGGGAAAAAAACAATATGCAGACAATTCACTTGTAATATTAAAGAAAACTAGTTTCCTTACCAAACATATTTATCCTATCTCTGGACCTCTTAGCCATGATCACACTCAGTGAACTTGTCAGATAAAGCTGGAGAATAGTACATTCTTTCACTTAGCTGTGTCTGCTTGGACTCCTCTCATAGCAAAAGTCGCTCCAGGCAAATCTGACCACCTAGTAATTATCTTTCCATTCTCCAGGATCTCTTCAAAGTATTTCTTATTCCCAATAAGGAAGGTAACAGCTTCATAATGGCAGTCAGGAGACAGGAGAAGGAAACAAACATTTGCTAATGTTTTCATGAGTGTCCTCCAGAATATTTCATTTCCAGGAGCTCAAGAACTCCATGCAGATTTTTTTTAAAATTTTATTTAAAGAAAGACTAAACAAATCAGAAAATGGGTAGAAATAATACATACGTTCAGAGAAAAAATAAACATTAAGAAATCACTAGTTGATGTTTACATACTGTCCTTTTACAAACTGCCTGTTTTGAAGTTTTATACTATATACAAAGTTGTGTTTTTATTAATACTGTTAAGTACTGATATATTCAATTATATACTATGTCTGATGATATAGCCAATTCTATTGAAGATAACAAGACAACACAGGAAGTATGGCAGAATTCCTTGTACAATGGTCTTATATGTCTTTTTTCATTTCATGTGTTTATAGGAATATGTTTTGTTTTGTCTTGATTTGTTTCATGTCTCCCTCTAATATAGAAATAGAAAGGATAGAAATACATGTTAAGACTCATGCATGTATAGAACCTACAAACAGTTTATGAGAACTGATCTTATGACACGTGATGAAATGAACAAATACTTTGAAGAAAAAGAAAGATTAAAGTTCCCAGTGCTGATTCTGGAGTGTCATAATGTGACACCCAGCAATAGTATTATTCTTTGTTCAGAGTGATATTAGCCTGATTGGGTTTGTTCAATTTCAATGTAATTGAAGTTATGGATAACTGCATGTATGTTTAAGTGTATAGGATTGATAACCATATTTCTAAATTTTTGTTGGATAGTTGAGCAGAACTGGTTGCAGTCTCACTGTTTGAATCCCCATTTTATATGCTCCACTTTTATTTGTAAGAGGACAATCTGTAATCATCAACTAGTGATTTTTAACTATTTATTTTTTTTCTTTGAAAGTATGCATTATTTCTACCCGTTTTCTGTTTTGTTTAGTCTTTAAATAATTTTTTAAAAGACAAAAAATAAGTAATACTATAAATTATGTGTCCTATATGTAATTGTTTTCCTTATAACCCCTGCCTACAACATATATAATGGAGTATTACTCTGCCATAAAGAAGAATAAATTTCAAGCACTTATAGTTAAATAGATGTAAGATGTAAGTAAAATAAATTGGACTCATAAGTGACATTGTATTGTCTCCCTGGTGTGATAAAGTGAAAGACTAAATAAGGACCAGAATGTACCACGGATATTGTGAAATGGGAAGAACTTGTTCAAAAGAAAAAAATAACTAGGATGGGGAAAAGGGGACATGAAGGGAAAAGGGAAAAAACCATTTTAAAAGGGATAAATGGAAACAAATGTCTGGGAGGAGAGAAAATTGGGAAATAAAGGAATAATCAAAATATATCATATATGGATACAAATTCCCTGTGGTGAATATGATCATTATTTATATCTAAAATGCATCAATGAATTTAATACTAAAAACAATGTCTATCAAAATTACTGCTGCATTCTCTGTAGAAATTTGACAAGCTGATCCTAAAATTTTTATGGGAATGTGAGGGACTCAATAACCCAAATAATCTTGAAAAAGAATAAGCTTAAATGACTCATTTTCCCAATTTTAAAATTTATTTAAAGTGATAAAGATTTTACTGACACAAAGACAAATATAGATCAATGGAATAGAATTTAAATACCAGAAAAATACCTTACAGTTAGGTAAATTGATTTCTAATAAGGCACCAAGACAGTTCAGTAAGATGGGGTAAAGGGAGGACAGCAACTGTCTTTTCAACAAATGATTCCGGGATAAATGAATATCCACATGCAAAGAACAAGGGGAGAATGGAGAAGGGGATGTAAAAAGGATTATGTATTAGGTGCATGTGCCAACTTTCCATGATGAATGTAATCATTATGCAGTGTAAATATGTACTAAAAAATAAAAATTTGAAAAGAAAAAGGAGTCCTTTTATTTCTTTGAATACAATTTATGTTACAAACTGCAAGAAGTTCCCTCCCTCCCTCCTTTCCTTGCTTCCTTCCTTCCTTCCACCTCTGCCTCCTTGTTCCCTCCATTTTCTTTGTTTCTTCCTTCTTTTCTTCTCCTGCCTTCCTCTTCCTGTCTTTTCCTCCCACTTTTCCTCTTTTTTCCTTCTTTGTTTGATAAGAATACATATCTGTAACATATATCTACTATTCCTTTGAGCTTAGTTCACAGATGTCTTTTGTTTTAAAATTAATTATTCCGTAAACAATATATAAGAAAATCAATGAATACTCACTTATCTCACTTAAACGCCAACGTGTAACGTCAGATTTAATTATCCCATCCACGTTTTGAGCAGTCACTCCAATGCTACAAGTATCTGGAGGTGTTATCATTTGATGCAAAAAAGAACATGAAGCACCCGTAGAACTGCTGGATTTACATGAATAACTTTTCTTTCTGCTTTGAAGAAAAAAAATGATTCATCATGAATTCAGTATAGTAATTGAAATATAGTTAATACATTAAACAGTATTTGTTAGTTTTATTCAGAGGTTTTTTTTGAGAATTTTATAGTCCAGGATTTGGTTTCCTGCTTCCTTCCTGCCTGAGATGCTATGAGCCCTGGAGACTTTGTGAAGGCCCTGTAAGCCCATTATAAGCAATACGACAATACATTTCTTGCTGACAAGAAAATAATGGATTCGCCTCTGAAAATCTGGAATATGGCCTTGAGAATTTATTCTTTTAAAAAAATCAGAGGATTTTAAAAATAAAGTATGATAGAAATAATAAGATTTAATATGGTATTTAATATATCTATGATTATTGATATGCACAGATGCTAATATTGTATTATTGGTGAAAAAGACAGAGTGCATATCATGTACCAAATGATCAGTTTTATCAGTGCATATATTCATGTAGCTACTCATACAGGTATCTGGAAAATCTTTATATAAACATTAAAGTTGTTACCTTAGATTAGTGAACCTTTTAGAGCTCAAGTGACTAAATTGTAACCCAAAACTCATTTATTGCAAAGTACCAACACTGAAATTAAGCATAAATACTGAGGTTTTAGTTTAGGAGGAAAAACTACTCATACATTAACATCTTTTGTCTTACAAGAAAAACACAGTACTGTGTATGCCATAGGTTTGCTACCACTGCCTTAGATGATGCTTTTTTACTTTGTTTCAGGTTGAATTTTTAAATCACATATACATTTCAGAAAACTCACTGAAACATATAGCTAGCTAGCTAGAGACAGGCAGACAGACAGATAGACAGGCTTACACTATGAAGTTTCTATAAATCAGAAATAACCAGATAGGTGAATACAGCTATATCCTACATGTTCCTGGGGATTGTGAAGCAGGTAGAACCAGAACTAAAAAGAAGGTCCAAATGTTAGGGCTCCACGTTTGCTGGAAGTGGGTGGCTAGCGGGGCCAGAGCTTAGACATATGGAATCATCAAATCTTGAAGCTAGAAAGAAACTCAAGAATTTCCAGTGGTTATTACACAATGCAAAAATGGCCCTGGATGGCAAGTTTTCCCTCTTCATTTATCTCTGGGACATATTCTAAAAAGCTAGTCTGGATTTAATCCTGAAGCTCTCAAAAAATAGATATACAAGTTTTAGTCAAAGTTTATCTGCCTTCTAGTCTTCAAGCAGATCTGGAGATTAATTCCTCTTCTCTCTCTACTCAAGAAAGGTACTGACTGGTTTTTATAGCATGGGGCAAACTGACTAATTTTATAACACTGATAAGGTCACTGACAGAACTAGGAAAACTTAACAGTTTAACGGAGTTTTAAGTGAGAACAAATATTAAAAATATAGCCACAGCCACAGTCCCCAGAGGACTAGTTCTCATGATTTCTCTCCAGAACATCTTGCAAGCTAGCTACTATTCTCAGATAACCTTGTTCTACACCCAAACCTGGCCTGCTCATCTCCCTAAAAATAATGAAAATTGCCTTTAACTGTCTGTTCCATTAAAGGAAACAGTTATATATGGCTATAAAAGAGCAGTTTTGACTGTTCAATAACAATGGCTATCAAAACAACAGTGAATAGTCTCTATAGCTGGATATTCCAATTAGATAAACCATTTGCCTAGAGGCCATCTTAAATACTGTCTTTGCTTTCACTAGTGTAAAAGGTCTTATTACTTACGATTCCTATTATAAGAAATCTCTATTAATTGACCTACAAAAAGTTCTGCCTAGCCTATTTATAGTTACGAACTTACAAACTTTTAAAAAAAACTTTATTATAATTCTACTCGGCTAAATGCATCTGAGTGCACTTCAGTTTTATAAATAAATTATCTTATGCGTATTTGTCTTGTCTGCAATTTGTAACTATTTACCACACTTAGAGCTGTTTTGTTTAGCTCAACATTTTTTTTTCTTTTTTGCCTTTTTGGATTTCTAAAACATTTATAACTTAAATTGGTCTATAGATGTCATTATAAAGTATAAGGACATACTTCCACCCAGGTTGCCATCTGATCAAAATGATGTTAAGATTGGTTTTATAAACATAATACATACTATTGTCTATGTAAAATAATTTGAGAGTCTTTCACTGGTTAAAAATAATGTATAAACTGTTATGATCTGATTCTCATACATTATCACAAATTGATCAACACCAGGGATAGAACTAATTAGTCTGGGAGATCACAAGTCATTTAGGTTGAGTTACTAAGCCTTTAGCATTCTTAATTTCTAAAGCAGTCATGGACAAACTATAGCTCCCAAGACAAATATAACCCCTTGTACTCTTGTACAAATCACAGGCTAAAAAATGTTATGTTGTTAAATTGTCAAAAATAGATAAGTACTCAGTACTCTATGAAGCTAAGGTCAGAGAATCTCCAACTCAAGCCCAGTCTTGGACATTTTAGGCTATTTCAAAATAAAATACTTTAAAGATTGTGAGGCTGCAAATGTAGTTCAGTGTAAAGGCTCTAGGTTCAGTCCTCAGTATTGCAAATAAACAAAAGAAGAATACTTTGTGGAATATGAAAATTATATGAAACTAAAATTTAGTGCCCATAAAATAGACTAGAAAATAGTCATGTATATTGACTGCAAATTGACTACAGCAGCTTTTATACTGCATAAGTAGTGCTAAATGGTTTTGACGTATTCAATCTTCTAAATCTAGAATATTTGCTATCTGGCTCTTTATAGAAAGTTTAATAAACCCTGTTTGAAAACATGTCTTTGACACAATTAGTCATTTTCATACCATACTATTAAAGCAATAGTTTTTTCTTTTTCCTTTTCTTTTAATATATAAGACTTTCCAGCATAAGATCTTTTGTTTAAAAAAAAAGAAAACTCGGAACCATGGGTCTATTTTTAAAATGGAAAAGACAAAACTCATTTTACAGTGATTCCCAATATAATCCTCCTTATTTCTAGGAGAACAAAAAGGAAGAAATGTGTTTCATGAGTTATTTAACATACTCTGCATATACTGAAACATCTAGTTTTTGGCTAGAGTTATAATCTGAAGGTTGGTTTTTTTTTTTTTTTTTTTTTTTTGAGACAGTGTCTCCTATACAGTTTAGGCTAGGCTTGAACTTAATATATAGCCCAGGCTATCCTCCTGCATCTACCTCTCAAGTGATGGAATTACCAGTGTGTGCCACCATACCTGGAAAAAATTATAAGATTTTTATTCTAGTAGAAATAGAATAAAAAGGATGCTTAAGGTAATGATGAAAATTTGTGAATCATTGTCCTGGTGAAATATTGTGTAATAGGGTTCACATGATAAGTTAGAGGCAGAATGAGGTAAGAATGAACAGGTGTATAACAAATTCCAAAAAGATTAGGGGCATAGTTGAATACAATAAATACACAGCCTTTTCCATTGCGCTTATCACTAATAACTACTCGGTCAATAGCGAGCTCTAGGTAGAGGTCATCGTGTGGCTCTATGTCCCCTCTTTGCAGCTGCAGAGTCTGTCAGCATGGCTACAAGTAGCTAAGATGTTACTGTAGCCAATGGATGTACATAGTACCACCCAGAAGTTATAACTGAGAAAATGTTTTACTTCATGTGTAACTTGACTCTTCAATGAATCAGGACCTACCTCTTCCCATCATTCCCACTTATACTTACCAACTTACATTAACAGTGTACTCGGTACAACTGGTTTCCTTCTCTGGATTCCAAGTGCAGGTTAAAGTCATACTATTGTATAAGACACATGAAATGTTCTCAGGTTTAGTGGGAAGAGCTAAAAGAAAAATCACACAAACAATTTTTGTACCCAATATATACCACCAGCATTGAGTATTTTAATGAAAATAGACTGAGCAATGTTAAATTTGTGGTTAGCTGCTGAGTATAATAGGTTTTCCTAATCAGATTCCTGAAAAGAATCTAACTCTATCTCTTCAATTATTCCCTTTGAAGAATTAGATTTCTGCTTATTGAAAAATACACTTTTGGCCATGCACAGACCACTGCTGGCTTAGGGAGAGCCAGACTCAAGCTTTTTCTGAGTCAGCACCATTCGCAGGCCGCAGAGGGAGAGAACCAGGCCTCATAGGTTCTGTGTAATCCTGTGTTATTTATTTTAATCTCAGTGTTACAAACACTGAGAAGTAGTTCACAGTCTATACCAGATGACCATGGGGTTTATAACACACACACGAACACACACTCAAGAATCAAGAACAAGAACAGTTTTAGACTAAAGAAAATATTTTGTTTTACTTTTTGGCAACAGCATACTTTTAAGACAAAAGCATATTTGAGAAAAGGAAACAACTAGGCGCTGGTGATTTAGCTCAGTGGTATAAGCGCCTGCCTTGCAAGTTGCAGAGTCATGAGTTTGATTCCCAGTTCCAAAAAAAAAAGAAAGAAAGAAAAGAAGACAGCTAATTGTTACTCTTACACATCAAAGTTTTTCAGAAATTGGTACTGAATTGAAAGGAAGGCACTTCACACTGAGGAGTTTAGAAGGCAATGATTCATTACATTAGTAGGCTGGTAGAACTGACTGAGTGTGAAACAGAAACTTACATACATTTTGTAAACAGGAAATACAAAAACCGATAGCAGGTTATCATATAACTGGTTATATGAATTACATCACATACTGTCAGCAGAACTAATTAAGGGGAATTGTTTATTATGAACTATGTATGAAAAGCAGCTGGACACAAGACACTCAAGGTTGACTAGGGTTAGCAATCTAGTTATGTGACAGATGGGATGAGCTCATCTTGTCCGAATATAGTAACAGGCTACTAACTCATTTTTTCAATTTCTTGCTATAAAATTTCCATTAAAAAAGCAAAGCTCTAGTGACTCCTAAGAAGGAAGTGAGAAGTAGAAAAAAAAAAAGGTCCATCACTTACAGTAAGTAAACTGGGGAGAATAGGAGAAAGAAATGAATGGAAGACAAAGAGATTAGATATCAGGGTTCTTGACAAAGCATTGCGAATATGCAGATGACTCTGATAAGCCATCTGAATTGGTAACCTATTTCACCAGGCATATCTTGTAGAAACTTTGTAGGCCTTTAAGGTAGAGAAGTTCCACATGCCACTCAGCACTAACTTACTAATTCCAGCAGTGCGTAGCCTGGGAATTCCAGATGAATTCCAATACAGGTAGGTATAGCATACAGGGATTCAGAAATTTCCCTGTGCCTCAGGGTGAAGGTGGGGTAGATTTAGGCAACACGCATAGGATCAGGCTGAAGAGGTTTTTGTGCACAGAAGGAATTAAAACCATGATCAAACAATGTGGGCATGAACTTCAAGAGTAGTTTGTGGCAGTATGATGCTGCAAAATCTAGGTAGAGACAGCTGTCTCAAAGGAGATAGCAGAAAAGAGACTGAACCATACCAGATGGCACAGAAAAGACCAGAGGGCAACATATGAACTTGTTCCTGTGGACCCAGAAGCCCTTCCCAAGACACTGAATTCACAGAAACCCTGCTTGTAGACAGAGAGACCATCTTAAGGAGGAGCAGGGGAAGGTCAAAAACTCTGGAACAGTGAGCTACTACCCTAAAGAGGCAGAAAAAGACAATAAGCCATAAAAAAATAAGATAATGTTTTAAAATGTCAGAACTGCCTTTCTAATGAAAAAAGGAAACATATCAGTTAGTACAATCATGCAAATAAAGGTGTTCAGTTGAGACTTATTCAGTTGAAAACCAATAGTTCAGACCTGCTTTTATTTGTTCAACAACTCACATGTATCTTTTCAACACTTAATGTCAAATTTTTCTTTTACAAAATATACAGGGACAATGCTTTATTATAGTGTGACAGAGTAATAAAATTAATGGGAATCCACGGATTACTTCATGACTGCACACATTTACAGACTAGTCAAAGATAGTCACTATATTTTTATGGTTTATATGATATGCTCCCCAGGGTGGTGGTTCCTTAATTCCCTCCTCTTCTCCCTGTACTATAGGCTCAGGCACAAATGTAGCATGTCCTGCTTCCATTTTCCCATAAATTAATTGGGGTGGGAATTGGGGTGGAAAGAAAATGGTCAAATTGAAAAAAGTATTCTCAGAAAAACTGCATTCTAGAGGGTTTTTTCCCCTTAAGTAGTGCTCAAATACAAAATAAGATCTCCAAAGTTTAAAGTCTTCAGTTAGCATTCTGACAATCTAAAATCTGGCAAAGTAGCACTTAGTGGATAAATGGAAACAGAAATGTATTTCTCCAAAATTTCTAGTATGATAACTAAGCTGTTTTTTCAACAAGCCCCATGTTACAGAATTGGATTTGCACCTAATTTTAGAAATGTATTCCATAACTATTCCTCACTTCTTTTTGCTCTTTACTGTTTCTTTTACCATACATCTATTGCCTACATTTAGTTTGTCTTCTTTCTTCAACTGTATGTTCCAGATGATTAATATAGAAAGAGATATTTGGACTGTGAGTGTGACCATCATCTCATATTCCCAGGTAAAAAAGGAATGGCAGCCTGGCTACTTCAGGTGAGGATTTCCATACTCTCAAAGATTTAGCAGTTTAGAGTGAGTTCACACTTTTCAGGTGCCACTTTACAGTTCCTTACTCTGGGAAAATACAACTGATAAGATTATATCCAAAAGATGAGAAGTATAAAACAAAAGAGGCCTTTATTCTGAGAACACGAAGAGAGAAAACCAAAACACCCCTGACTGCTGGAGTCCAGCTTTCTCTCTGGTGGACACGTGGCGTGGGGGGTATATAAGTAGCCTCAGTTTGGGGTGGAACCTAAGGGGGCAGTATGGATGCACAGGTAGTCCATTGGTCTTTGTTTGGCGCCACAGGTAAATTCCTAGGGGCGGGGAAGATGGAGTCACAGGTAAATTTCTAGGGGTGGGGGAGATAGGAGCTCCTTGGTTCCACCTCTAAGGCTTAACCGGCTACAGTGTCCTGTCTGGGCCAAAACTCTTTCAACAACATTTTCTTTAAAAAGAAAGAGGGTTGAAAGTCCTTTTGGTGAACAGAAATCACTGTGGCTCTTCAATATGGACAATTTTAACAACACATTAAAGGAGGAAAACTTCAATAGTGTGCAGTTCAATGATTTGACTTATTTTTTTGCATTATAAGAATCACAGAAATCTCATCCATTGTATTTTAACTTCTTTTGGACTACACTTTTCTGTGGAAATGACACTTTACCTTGAAAAGTAACTGAAAGGTAAAACAATATTTTCTCTGAATAAAAATTATTTTCACAGTGGAAACGTCAGTATTTTACCACTAATATATGAGCAGTGATAAATGCCAATTTCAAGGTACATGAAAAGATTTTAGCACATGCAATTTAATACAGAAAGATTTCTGCCTGTTGGGCCAACAGGTTTTTGGTGGTACAAATTAGAATGAATAATCTTTTATGGAAAGCCACCTCTCTGCACCTGCCACCACTATCAGAAGGTTTGCTTCCTGTGTGCAACCACTTGAAAGAGACAACTTTCAGACCTTAAAGACAGGATCGCAGGCAGAGATTACAAAAGGAAATATCTCTTAAAAATAACAAAGAACCAGGAAATAACAATTCAACAGCTGCAAGAGGATGAAAAGAATAACAATTTAAGAGTGAAGAAGCAGGGGTCAACACAAATGATATTAAAATAATAGCAGGACATTTTCCAACATGGAAAAAAGACACATAAGCGAGGCATAGAGGACTCCAATTAGCTGTAACCAAAATAAATCTACACCCAAACATATGATAATCAAGATTCCAGAAATTCAGCACAAGAACAGAATATTACAAGCTGTTAGAGAAAAGAAGCAGATCACCTATAAAGGAAAACCAATCAGAATCACAGCAGACTTGTCAACACAAACCATCACATCAAGAAGTGTTTGCAGTGAAGATTTCAAATCCTGAAAGAAAACCTCTAACCCAGATTGATGTTCCTTGTAAAACTATCTTTCAAAACTGATGGAAAAATAAGATACTTTAAAGATAAAGAACAACTGAAGAATTCATGACCACCAAACCAACCCTATCAAGAGTGCTGAAGGATATTACAGAGAAAGATAAAGATGACCATGATTCCAGAACAGCAACAGAGGAGGATCGCCAAACAGGACAGACAACTAAATGAAGAGGAAAAGTGGAAGGCCAAGAGCAGGAGGGTAGCATGGGACAGATGAACCAATGCATGCTAGGTATAACCATTAATGTAGATGGCCTCAATTCACCAATAAAAGCAAACACAAGGAGAGTGGATCAATAAATAAGATACATTAACATGCTTTATACAAGAAACACATTTAACTTAAAAAGATTCATAGACTGAAAATCAAACAGTTGTTCCATGCAACAAGGGACCAGAAAAAAACAAGAGTAACTTGCCCATCAACCACAGAATGGATAAGAAAGATATAGTATTTTCATACAATGGGAAGCTACCCAGCTATAAAGTAGAATAATCTTGAGGTCTTACAGGTAAATGGATGCAACTGGAGATCATGCTCATGGTTGAAATGGTTTAGACTCATATAGTTGAACACAAAGTTATCTCACTAGCGTAAAAACTGAAGGAGTTAGCGGAGTCCAAAAAGCACAACAGATATTATGAAAATAATAGGGGAAGAAACACCTAAAAAAAGAGAAAGTGATGTCCACTGTTAATTTCCTATGTTTTGTTTGGAATTCTTCTACCATGTTGTGGTTTGTTTAAATATCCCCCACAAAGCTTCATGCAGTCATAGAGGTACCTGAGCTCAGTATTTGTGATTGGCTCA